ATACTCAGAATGATTTGTTTCGAATAAAGCAAGCTTCTCTTCTGACACTCCATGTTTCTTGTTTGGATTTTTCATAAGAGCAACTAATTCCTGAAATACTTGAACCATACTGACTTGTAGTGACCAATCGTTAGCCAACAGTTGCAAACTAACAAGGCCGTCTGTGTTGACATTAATGTGGAATATTTGTGTCTTAAAGAAGATGATAGGTGCATGACTTGGAAAATCATTCGGAAATATAACATAAAGTAACCAATAGTACCCTTCATACAGCGGTTGTTGACCCTAAAATGCAAAGCAACATGGAGAACTACAGAGAGAACGCTTTGAATTTCGTATTCTTGAAAAGCTCGAAACAATCCCATGCTGTTATTTCGTCTCAAGTAGAATATTTCTTCCACAGCGACTGTCGTTTTTTTACAGTTGGGTGTAAGAATAATGCATGGATAGTTTGAGACTGTCGTTTGGGTTCATACGAAAATCTTATTTTCATCTGTCTAACACTCCTCTCTTTCCAAAATGTAACAGAAAATCGGGCATAGCGGTATCGACAGACGCATTTTCATATCTGAGCATACGCTCTTCTATCGTATGCAGTAGAATGGAAACAAATGAGCCGACAAGATAATGAAACGCGGATATCAATGATAACATTGCGGATAACGAATCAATGGCAGACAGCAGAGTGTTCACTATGCGTAACACTAGGCTCCTCTTCATTCATGTACATCGAACGCGGATAAAGGTGTCTCAAAATTAAAGGACCTCTTGACAGCTTCGAGTTCGAAAACAATAAAGACTTTCTTGACTAAAGAAGGTTTCCTTTCTAATCTAATGCTTTATCTATTCGATGCAGGGTAGCAATCTATCATGTAAAACATTGATTTAAATTCGACCGATTATCATTAATGAATGAATGTACAAACTGCTGAATTTCAACTGTCTCATACTTATAGGACCCCTTCCCACACTGAACATAAAAGGGTTACATTTATGATAACTTTGCTAACTCAAATGATGTTTCTGAGGATCTATTCAAAAGAGGACATCATGAGCTGTGTTCTGAACAATTAAATTTCAAAACAATCACTATGTTGTTCGAGAAAAGTAAGTCTTCGCTTCTTCAGTGTAAAAAAGTTAAATGTAAAGAATACCATTGGATAGAGAACGAAAAGCTGCATATACTGGATGGGTTTTGACAGAGCTCTTGATAGTTGTAAAAAAAACGTTTGAAATATGTTTTTCACAAGATTCCGTGCAAAACACGACTGCTTTCGTGAGAAAAGCGTCCGAATTCACATAAAAAAGCGCAGAATATTTTCCAACGACATCTGCAGAAATGCGCATGAAACTCTGCACAAGAAAGACTATTTTTTTCTTGTTAGAAGTTGGTTTTAAAAAATCTGAAGGACTCTCTTTTTCAGTGTCACCAACACATCTTATTTTCCCAGAGGAATTGAGTATTGTTTCGTCTGCTCTAGACGCCTATTTTTCAAAATTTTTGGAATCGAAGTGAGAAGTGGTAAAACTAGCTTATCTTGTGCAGAATTTCAGGTGCATTTCTGCAGATGTCGTTGGAAAATATTCTATGCTTTTTTATGTGAATTCAGACGCTTTTCTCATGAAAGCAGTTGTGTTTTGCACGGAATCTTGTGAAAAACATATTTCAAACGTTTTTTTTTTACAACTATCAAGAGCTCTGTCAAAACATATCTAGTCTATGCAGCTTTTCATTCTCTATCCAATGGTATACTTTACATTTAACTTTTTTACACTGAAGAAGCGAAGACTTACGTTTCTCGAACGACATAGTGATTGTTTTGAAATTTAATTGTTCAGAATACAGCTCATGATGTCCTCTTTTGAATAGATCCTCAGAAACATCATTTGAGTTAGCAAAGTTGTCATAAATGTAAGGTAGGTTATCATTTGCCCTAAATTCTGGTCCCCAGATTTGTCCCTACATCGTGTATCCATTTAGGGACAATTAAGCAATTATGGTCAATTCTGGTGACCAAATAGGGACTTTTTTTCTTAAATACATACTATACCACATAGACCACAATTCAACATCATCCTCTACCGTACTGAAATCTTTTATCATTAAAAGCAAATATTGTGGCGAAAACTGTAGTATGGGTAAGTACTTTCTGGTCACCAGAATCGTTTTGTATTCATTATCTATAGTTGTTCGGATACGCATTTGAAATTCAATTTTCTTTTTTTCTTTGTTCTATAGTTTATACGCCAAGAAAAGAAACAACATATTGTCAGTGTGTAATAAGGAAAAATAATCCAAGTTAAAATAAATGATATCATACATATTCGTTTCTGCCGCAAATAAAAGTTTTCTTTAGTCTGTAGAAGGAGTGCAAACAGTCTTTTTAGTCCGTTCTGTCGGCCACAACATCATTTTGTGTGACCAATATGTTTTAAGGTCGTCAAAGAAGAACATTATTTTCTGGAATATAGTCCATAGAAGGAATGTAAACAATCTGTTTAGTCTATTCTGTCGATCACAAAATCATTTTTCGTGACCAATATGCTTTGAGGTCGTCAAAGAAGAACACTATTTTCTAGAATACATTGCTGGGACTAGACAATCGCATAGGCGAAGGACTTCGTGTTGTAGGGTATAAATACTCCAAAAATAAACCTTTTAGTCATAACTGTTTCTAACATACTTACAGCTCAGCGTATTAATTATGCAATTCATTCAATGTAAGTTTATGCTTTTGTAAATACTATTTCTGGATTGAATTTCTAATATTAATTTCTAGTCGTGGTAAGTTCTTACAATTCTTATAAGAGTGTGAAATCTTTCTAATAATTAGTAATTGTATCTCGAAAAACTAAGTATATGTACAAGATACTCCTTGAAAATAAATTTTGCCGTGTCACTGGATACTCTAAGAAGCAAACAAACATTGCTTAACGAGTTATACCTGTATATTCTTCTTTGGTTTATTTCTATTGAAACTACTGAATGTATCTATAAATTATTTCCTTCTTAATTAGTTTTCCTTATCACACACTTATAGAGCCAACTCTGGTTGCCAGAATCCTATAGCACGAAAGTCTGTTTCATATTTTATTTCTTTTCAGACTTTGATGTGTTTAATTTGTTATTTTCAATGGTTGTTATTGTAACAATATGGCAAGAATCAAAAGTGCAACATCACGTACTGGTATGGTATTGGATGGCAACACAACCAGATTAACATTAGCTTTAAAACCGTCGAATAGTAGGGTGTCATGCTCTACATCGTGTACAAATGAATCGTTATCACCGATAAAATCTAATACTGATACAAATTCGATATTATCTTCAATCAGTGATCCACCATCATTATTACCTTCGTCAAAAGAAAAAAAATCATCTTCAAGTACAGAAAAAATGAAAAAGACAAAATCACAATGTAAAGCAGTAATCATCGAATCAGAAGTTGATGAAGAAGATACTGATATTCAAAAAGGTGCAGAAGCACAGTATGATCTTATTCCAAGTATACATGAATGTGGTGGTATTGATCGGTTTTTAGAAGCTCCATGTATGATATTGTATAAGCGTGTTTTCATTGGTCAAGGTTAGTTATCTATTTGTCTTGGTTTCGATGATTCAGCTGTTTCTAACGAGACTAGCAGTTTAGACTTATCTCATATGAAAATGTCTGAATCTGGTGACCAGAAACATAGGTTTGTTTGCTTAGAGATTTCATTTTGTTCGGTTGTTCTCTTTGTCTTTATCCTAATGTCTCTGCTTGTGGTGACCAGAATGTTAACATGCGAAAACATATTGCTGTTTTTATACTACTTGATATGTGTTTTTATCTACTTTTAGCTGATCTTGAAAATTACATCTTAAAACATATTTCATCATATAGTACAAATCCATGCTTATTTGCTGGTATCACGGGTACCGTTGAATTCAAGCTCAAAATCAATAAATTTTATCATGAAAACCGGAAAAAATCAATGAATTCAACAATTGTTTTTAAAGCTCATTCTTCTAGAACTACGGTTACTCATCAAATCTTACTCAAAAATGGAAACCTTTATTTGTATGTTGATCAAGTCATAAAAGATAAAACCAAGAAAAAGAAGAGAAAAAATATTTCAATTGGTAGGTGAATGATTCATTTTTCTAATATATTTCTTTCAGATAGAATTAGTCTTGTTTCTGTCTGAGTAATACGAAAGTAATATGTTATTTTCTTTTTATTAAAAATTTAGATTCAGTACGTGGTGTTGAAAAAGTTCATGAAACTAAACGTAGTAGTGCGGTAATGCACAATCTGAAATTCATTCTTCCAGTAAAACTGTGAAATATGTACAATCTAGAAAGAAAAATGATGATGAAGAAGAAAAATCGGGTAAGTTCAGAAAATTCAGTAATCCAAGATGCTAGATTTACATGTTTTGACTTCTGGTCACTCCAGCGAAAATTTACTTATTTCTATATATAGATATTGAAAATATTGATGGTAATGAAAGTGGAACAATGAATAGTAGAACAAATGAATTAGAACGAGAGGATGAAAAGATACAAGAACCAAATGTCAGTGAAGATGAAATTATAGAAGAAGGAACATCACAAACAAATAGTATGTTTTTTAAGCAAATTATTTTTTAAATTTCGACACAGATAGATGTTATTCAAGAGATTTTTTATTGATATTATCCAATAAATTTTTGTCTTTCTCATATTTAAATGTGGTGACCAGAAACATATATTCATTTGTTTTGTTTTTCATTTAGTGTCAATTGGTGATCTTTCTTTCCAAATAGGTGGACTTTATATGTTTCTCAACAAATATCAAGAAGTAAAAGAATGTGTCGACAACGTTTTGAGTTACGATCGAGAACACGGTGTATTAATGTTCGGTGCTCAATTGAAAACGTTATTGGACATCCAGAACGTTGAAATTACTAAAAACAGAGCCTGTGCTACCCAGGCAGACAATGAACGGTCAAAACTGCGTTTTAACGCGTCTATCAAGCGTTTATACCGTTTAAACCCCTTTAAACGTGTTTACCATTGAATTTTTCCGTTTTAAATCGTTTTTACGGTTTATTTTCAAGCAAACGTA